AGCGGTAAGGTTAAACACACACGCATGTCCACTGAACAAATCAGTTGCCGTAGTATTTCAAACTCAAAGGCCATTAAATCAGTCGATTGATTATAGCAACACCATTTGGCCGTTTGTCTGCCGCACATAGCTTTGCTCAGTTGCTTTGGTAAGTAAACCTGAATTAATGTGCATGCAAACATGTTTCAAGGGTTCTCGGTAAAAGTAAAAAAAAAAAAAAAAAACAGTATAGGATCTTCTTCACGCTTGCAGGTGTATTAAGCATATAGGGCTGGACCTATATTTTATAGACCAATCGGCACTTGGTGGGTGACGTGGTCGACATCACGCCAGCTGCCTTTACTTCCCAGGGATGTACCTGGTACCCATTCAATTCTTGGTCCACCAGGAAGCTACAGTCATTTATGAAAAAAGCCCTGTTCCGCCAGGACCCGAACCCATCACCCTACCCTCCGCTTCTAGCCGCTACACCACGGTGACTTCTTTGGTTCTTGCTAGTGCGTTTGGAAGTGGGGGAGCCGTTTGCCTCGCCCTCTGGTGGTCATTAGTTCGTTTCACTGCTGCCTCTTTCGGTTCACGAATGCAATTTTTACAGTGACCCTGTGGATCGTCACTGGCTATGGAGTTCGTATTTTGTGCGACCCTTTCAGCAGGTGACTAGCCGTTCTGTGGAAAGGGGGGGGGGCGGGGGTCGAGCTATATGAAATAAAACACTTCACCTTTTACCCGTTATATATTTCTTTATTCCAAGATTGGGCAGTTCTCTGAAGGTAAAATCAACAATGTTGCATATGCTCCATGCATACTTGACGATGCGAGGAACTGGTTACCCACTGTCGACCTGTCGAGTTTCGAAAAGTAATCAGAATCAATCCGAAAGATCGACCTGAGACCAGACATGGTCCTACACTCTGCGGACAAACGCCAGCTCATCCTGGTAGAGCTTAGCGTGCCGTAGGAGTCGCGGATGGAATACAATCACTTGTAGTGGCTCGAAAAATGGTGACCCGATGGTCGGTCTGAGAAGAAATAAAGCGTACACAGTAAACATCTTCGCCGTCGAGTAGGCGCAGGAGAGCTTATCTCCACTTTTACATATAATGTCCGAAAGCATCTGGGCTTGCGAGGGAAAGAGCGAAAACTGGCGCTAAAACAACTGGACAAAGCTTCTGAAAAACCTTCTAGCTGACTGTGGACACAACTTAACGTCGTGAGGGATCGCCCTCGCTAGACTGGTCTGAGCTCCTAGTAGAAAGGAACTTTTCATCCCTAAAAGCCAAAGTGTCTGACTAACATCTGCCAGTGGCCAAGGTCTAACATCTGTTCCATGACCCAGCCATCCACTTGTCACTCTGGTCCAGAAAGTAGGCGGCTAATTTGTTACCGCAGCGACAATATAAAACACCAAACCTCACAATACCTGTTGCCACCATTTCGTCTCGTCCAAAATCTGATAAGCACAGCAGGAAAGTCTGAGGCCTGGAAGTTGGGCCCCAGGTCGGCCCACCCTCTGAAACTGTCTAGGAGGTTTATGGGCCGAAAAAATTGTCTAAGAGGGACCCTTTTACTGATGATCGGTAATGCTCCTACTGTGTATGTTCCCTGTGTGGTTCTTCTTATTGTGCTAGTGCACAAGACAATTTAGAAAGATGGATGACTCTCGGGGTAGACCGTTTGAGGTTCTGGAAAGAATGACGCGTCGGCAGCGCCGGGCTGTAAACTGGCCCTCTGAGTTATGAGTTAGATTATCTTCACAGCACTCCGGACACATCCATAGGCGCTCAGATTCCCCTCTCAACACATTCATCAGCGTCGTGTGGTTAATAGTACCAGTCCTATGTTGATTAATAAGACTTCGTGTGCGTCCAGTGTGATTCTCATGCTTGGCTGTGCCGATCTTTACTCATAATTCGCGTATTCTTAGCAGTGATGTGGACATGTTCCTTCTAAAATCCTCAGAACGTCCTATCTCTCTGAGGGCAATGACAATGCCTGCGTGATCCATGGGGCGGCCATCTTCAATTAATGCAGCACCTGCCAGTCTATTAGCTCTCTCGTTACCGACAACGCCTGCATGACCTGGGACGAATATGAAAGTAACTGCATACACAGGAGAGTTGTGCAATGAATCAAACCCCTGTCTGCGTAACCAGGATGACTCGACCCGCCGGATAATGCTCAAAGAATCACTCAGCACACACACGTGGGAATAGTCCTGTGATCCCAGCCACATGAAAGCCTGTGTCACCGCCATCACCTCCATCGTCATGCTGCTAGTAGTCATAGAGAAGGCACCGCTGGCTTCCTTGACTGTTCTGTCTGAAGAGCGAGCTGTAAATGCCCATGCACTCTTATGTCCTCGTACAACTGACCCGTCTGTGAAGATCACAACTGTCTCATCTGACCTGTACCTGATTAGCGCGCACACCTCGGCATTGACAGCAGCTGGATTTTGCTCCCGAAAATGCCTTTTGAGCGTCACGACACAGGAGAATGTGAGATTGGGCGCTTTAGACGCTGGTATCCACTCCTCACCTGGATGGATGGATGTATGTAAGGCTGCAAACCTGCATGATGTCATCCTCTACCCTACCCAGCCATGATTTGCCCCTTTTAAACCTATTGCCCTTTTTCTTGAAGAGCATGTGGTGCAAAGGGTGCTTCAGATCCGAGCTTATCTTGAGGTATGCACGAGCCCTCTAGATCTTGATCTGCCCTCTGGTAACATCGGATCGACTGACGACAGGGTTGATCACCCCTAATTCTGTGTAAATACTCTGATTTCGAAAAGCAATAATGAAATATGCTTTCTGGATCCTCCAAAGGAGAGAGAATGAAGGACCCACTCAAACTGATTCTATCGTTATTGACACCGCATGTCCACGGACCATGATTTTTGCCTAACGACCGGGTTGGCCATGTACCCATGGAAGAAGCTTCACGGAGGAGCATGATCAGAGAATGTATGCCGAAAGGATGAAATACGAAGGTGTGCCACGTAGTAAGCTCCAGCGCTAACTTTGGTAGCACATAATTAGTCAGGGAACGACGAGTAGTGTGAAACCCACTTGCCCGGAGAGGTCCAAACGTCTATCACGGAGGTGCAAATTTGAAGATCTATGGCTGTCACTTACTACATCAACGCGACCTGTTCCTTAACTTCATTGACTTCCCGAAGGCATTTGGCCGCGTGTGGCAAGCTTGGCTCTGGCAAATAATGCGAAATGTCAACTTCGATAAGAACATCACATACACCATTGAAGCACGTTATAAAGATGCAAGCAGTGCAGTTCTCATTCAAAATAACGTAGATAAACTTTTCAAAACCAGTGTAGGTGTGAGACAGAGTTGCATAGTACCCCATGCCCTTTTCAATTTGTACTTGGAACACACCTTGAGAGAAACACTCAAAAATCAGGATACATTTAAATCTACTTTGGAAGACCACTAAGTAATTTACGTTTTGCAGACGATATTGAGCTCGCTGTTTTCGAAGCAGAACTCAAACAACTTACTACAAAATCAGAGACAGTCTGTGGTAAACATGGTATGAAAATTAATGCCGAGAAAGGAGATTCTGGCAAAGAGCCACAATAATCAAGCAACCTAAAAACATACAGATAAAAGGGAGGGGGGGGGGGGGACTAGAAGTTAAAACCTTTAAATATCTTTGCTCCCACATATGTTACGATGGCAGCTGAACCAGAGAGATAAAGACAAAACTTGATATGGCAACAACCGCGATGAATTTGACTTGGAAGAGTAAAATCAGCATCGCAGTTAAGGTCTATATATACAAACCACTGATAGTGTCTATTTTCGTATACGAATGTGAGAGTTGGACTGTCGAAATTGAAAGGATGATTCAGGTTTTCGAATGTAAATGCTATTGCAATCTACAACACCAATAACATCAACATCACCAACAAGAACACCCTCCCTCCCCCAACTGTGTGTTATCTTTGAAAATGAAAGAATGACAACGTTACCAGACAAATTAAAGATGAGTTTTATTATTTTAGCAAATGAAAAGGCAGGAGGTAATGCAGAAATGTTCAAGGCGAAGAAGATGTAGCAACAAACCGAGCGAGAAATCGGTAATATGGGCGGAGGAAAAATATATATCAAAATCGTTGGAATGAGTTGAGTAAAGAAGTGACATCACGGCACTCGGAGCATTCCCATGCATTCTCCGTCCTCATCTTCAGCAGCCAGCACAGAGTTCCAATACTGATAGTACCGGTCACAATCTGGTTAAATGTCCGTCTCGCCTTTACTCGGAGTGTATTGAGCCAGCCAGACCCTCTGGTTACACCCAGGTGCCTCATTCTCTCCAGGCCATAATAATCTTCTATCTCTACTGATTCAGTTGCTTGTTCCCAAAGGGCCTGACCACATCTGCCTTGGCATGTATCAATTCACCAGCCAGTGGTGCAGATCCAGCCAATCTGTCTGCCTGTTCATTACCTACCACGTTGGAAGAGGAAAAATAAGTATCAAAATCCCATATAGGCCTATACATGTGATCTTACTGAGTATAAATAATAAATGTAGATTAATGTTATCAGTCATTCAGGTATTCTGTGCAATTATTTTCAGTATAATTAAATGTGCAGTGAACGGTCAACTATAGACAAGCAAAGTGACAGAAAGACGGACAGTCAGACAGGCAGACAGACTGAATGATGGACGGACGGCGGATGGACGGACAGACAGACAGACGGAAGGATTGACGTACAGACGGCCTGGTGGATAGATGAAAAGATAAGGATCTTATTCTTTATTTTTTCTTCTTCTTCTTTTCTCTACTCCTGGAATTCCTCGTGGCCCCATGACAGGAAGAGATCTCTCCTTTATGTTAGCTTCGTATAAAATACTTTTCAGTATATTTTTTATTTATAAAGCTTAAAATATCGTCACCTTTCTTTTTATATCCAGGTTTGGCTGTAGAAATGTTATTGCACTGATCTTGAAAGCGATACAAAATCTATTAAAAAAATATGAACAGTACAACAGAAAATGGAACCAGCCATAGTGAAACGGAGAAGGTGGTTTCAGAAGTGGCCGACGCAAAATCAAGTGACAGGATGTATGTGAAATCTCTGGAGCATATATTCTACGACACTATTGATGGTGTCAACTACTACGCATTCAACAAGAACGGCAGAGTCAAAGAACAGCTTCCTTTAGTTCTTGATCTTGATCTGCGTTGCGATGACGTCATCGTGTCAGGGTATCCCAAATCCGGAAATCACTGGATCTTCGAAGTTCTGACGATGATTTTACATCAAAACACGAACTTTAACGAACGCGTTTTTCACATCAACTTGCTGGAATTTCTGAATAAAGAGGTTCAATTCGTGCTAGATGCGATCCCGTCGCCAAGAGTCCTAACCACCCACCTGAGATCTCATCGACTTCCGAAGCAGGTCAAGGAGAAGAATCTGAAGATCGTGTACGTTTTGAGAAATCCCAAAGATGTGGCGGTATCTATGTATAACATGTTTATCAACAATGGTCCGCTTTACACAAGATACAATGGGACTTTTGGAGAATTTATCGACCTATTTTTGAACGGGAAATTTTTTTGGGGTCAGTGGTGCGATCATGTGTGGTCGTATGAAAGATTTACGAATGGACATCCCGACCATTCTGTCTACATTGTGCCTTTTGAAAAGATCAAGGAAGATCCTGTAAAAATTATCCGCGGTCTTTGCTCTTTCCTAAGCAAGCCTGATTTTCTTGCAGAAGATATTGTCCGAGTAACAGAATTCAGTAACATGAAGAATATTCTCAGCAATGGCAAAATGAAGAAGATAAACCAACTGGTAACACAAGACGGCAAGGATTTCATTTTTAGAAAAGGAGAGGTTGGTGACTGGAAAAACTGGCTAACGGCAGATCAAAATGACGTCTTCAATAAAATATTTGAGGAGAAAATGGCTGGGTCCAAACTGGCAGATATAATTAGAGAGTATATGTAAGCCCATGTTTATTATCTTTCTTCTTCTTCTTCTTCTTCTTCAGCATTCCGATTCCTTGAGGTTCATTGCTGCAGATATCACTCGCCTCCGTTCATCTCTCTGGTTAGCCTTCTCTTTCCAGTTGGTGACATTAAGTGTTTGCATGTCTGTCTGGATATTATCTCTCTATAGTCTTCTTGGTCTCCCTGGTGGTCTACGACCATTCATCTTCCTGGTGTATGAAGTTTTTACTTCTCTATCATCTGACATTCTTTCAATATGCCCCAACCATTCCAGTCTATTAGCTCTCATGATACCAGTGATCAGTGGTGATTTAAACAGATTATGAATTTCGTTGTTGCTTCTCACTCTCCATTCACCGCTGTTTCAATCTTTGATGGGTCCAAGGATTCGTCGTAAGAATATGTTTGCGAAAACCTGTAATAAGGCTTCATCTATTTTTTTTGGTGTGCTTTAAGGTTCTTTAGTTCCAATATTATTTTATTAGTAAACTGAAGCACTAATTCTACTTCACTTTATCTGTTACCGCTCAGTTGAATGTCTTGACAACCGCTGGCATCACCATTGAGGTTTGAGGTTTTGAACAACGGATCAGCGTCAAGGTAGTAACCCATAAGTGCTCCGTTCTTCTTCTAACTCAGGTCTGAGTCTGAAGAAGCTCAACACAGTGCACAGGCTCTGTAGCACCGGCGAGGATCCTGAAATACTTTGGGTAGATTTTTAACTCCAAATTTTGCCCAGGCAAATAAGCTACTATTTTCGATTTCCAACTGCCGAGGGATTTGTTTATTTACATGAGCAACAATGCGATTCCTGTTGTCACAATAATGGTGGTGCCATTATGTGATTAAAATTGATCGCGTGTGCAACTGCTGATCTTTTGGTGACTTCTGCTACCATCGATGATGAACTGCATTTAATATGTAGGACTGTTTGTGTTAGCACTTGGATGGCTACCGTATGCTTTAATGCGTGTGTATGCTAGTCCATATGCTGACAGCAACCTGACAATCTTTCCGCAAAGGACTGTAATACAAATGTTGTGTGTTTTTCGTTGGCACAGGAGCGGAGCAACTATGGGGTGATCCGTTTGCAATGAAGCTGAAACTAAGATTATTACAAGATTGTATTTTTTCAGCGAGGCAGTTGATAGCAGGACATTCTTGTAAATTGGCCAAACCATATCATTTGTTGTTCTTTAATGAATTGTGTGACTGTGAACCCCACTTCTACGAAGAAAATGCATAAATAGTCAATAATATTAAGTAAAGTAAAGGAACTTTTCCACGCCTTTCAGGCGTATTGGGTATATAGGGCTATACTTTTATTTTATAGACCAAACGGCACTTGGTGTGGTCAGCATCACGCCGGTCACCACGACTTGACCTGGTACCCACTCTAAGCTGGGTCGACCTGGGAGCCAAGGTCATTTTTGAAAAAGTCCGGCCTCTGTCAGGAACCGAACCCACGACCTTTCGATCCGCAGGCGAGCAGCTAGCTGCTTAACCACGGCGGATTCCAATCTAGCAGTGTGATTTTTGAATTTCATTTTACAGGATTCATGTTTTCGGATCCAGTATATGTCGATGTAAACTCTATAGCTACGCGCCTGACAAGTTACATCCAAATATGTCAGACAGTAAATTGATCAATATATTATTTGTTTCCGCATCATTTGAGCTTTGCCAAATACCTCCTCCGGCGGGATGCTGGCTACATTACCAACCATGTGCCGATGGGTCTTTAAAATATAGGTCTAGCCCTATATGCCCAATACGTCTGAAGGCATCGAAAAGGGTCCATTAAAACTGTTTGCTTTTACGGTTTACATCCTATTTTAAATCGGGTAATATGTAGCATGCGCCACAACTTTATGTACCTTACAGTGATACTTTTGTTACATTCAAAGCTAAAATGGTATACAATGCAGATTTCTCTGTGTTTTTTTTTTTGGGGGGGGGGGGGGGGGGGGGGGGAATATTATGAATATTTTTTTTTCATTTCTTTAATACATCTTCCCTCTTTGTTCCATATTAAAAAAAAAAAAATACACACACAGGACAAAATGAACTTTTGTGTGCTATCTTGTGTGTAACAACAATCAGCACACGGTCAAGTGTCCAAGAATACAGTTTTCACCATACAACTCTCAGGAAAACTCCACGATGTCATGTCCGCCATATATGTACGTATATTGTCCCGACAGAGAGGGCAGTCACAATCCCTCACACGTACGATTCAAGCCAAGTGATGTGGACATCTATCCTGGCTAATCTGTAACTCTTGCGCCTCCTTTCGCTCGCTTCTCAAGTATAGCGTCACTCTCCCGCACAGCTTGCACTCGCTGCCACTACATACGAACTGACCGCTACAGTCCGTAGGTCTACAGCGTCCCGCAACTCCGGGCTTGCTGTACAGATGGACAGGAAATCTCTCCTACCAACTGGACTTTTGCTCTGCACTGAGCAGACACATCAGCTGACTGGAAAAGGACTCAAACACTCGCTTTCCAGCATGTGCATACCGCACATCAGCCCGTCGAAGGATTCCGATGACAGACAGGACTCCTAGCTCGAGTCCCCTCTAGCACACACCCATCGCCGGCATCTCCGCCGTCTTGTTTCACTAGTGATCCTACGTCTCCCTGCATCGTCATCCAGAACAGCTACTCTTGAGTGTCCAGTCCTCGCGACCTGACTCTGCAGCCTTGACTCTCTTCCTTCGACTGCACTGCGACTGAGACTCTTAGCTCAGACTTCACTGTCTGACTGGTACTGCTGTACTCTGTCTCTATCTGGTCCATTTAACCCCAATATATACCCTTGCCTGTTCCTTGTGGGCGGCCTGGGCCAAACGAGAAGCACGCTATCACGCATCCCATCCTTCTTCCGTGCATCAGCGGCTATCTCGTACAAGTCATACTATCAGGTCCATCTTGTATCAAGTCCCTTCCCTCTTGCCGAAATATTGACTCAACCGACAAATATTTCCTGGCTTGAATTGACACTGGGCGAAACATTGACACAGGTAACTGACGATTCTCGTTGACTCCCGACACACCATTCCCACTATGCTATCCTGCCCTAAGGTTACAACTCACATGAAACAGCACGGAACATGAACGTTGCGGCGAGATATCCTTCATCAGCGCTAAAGACACAGACAAATATACAACTGAATCTAAGCTAACATTCTAATTAGGAAAAGTAAGACATAGATTACATTGCTGTTGTTTGCGTTCACCGGTGCGAAAAGTCCTGGTTGTTCGTCCATTTCTAGATTTTCGCTTTAAGGTACTAAGTTTTGCATGTGCACAAGTTTTACAGATCTGACCCAAATATCTGCACTCTGTTGGTTCCATTCCTTTTGGGTAGATGCACCCCGACTTCGAAAGAAACCCCAAAATTAGTCGACTCCTACGACATGCTTGTTAGGGAGGCCGTGGGTCTAGTGTTGTTTTCCCTCTTAATTTGACTTTGGAACCTACACGGGGGAGACAGATTATAACGTGCTGTTAATAACAAACTACTAATGAAGGCGTAGAAGTGGACACAGAGTACGTTTAAAAACTCGTGCTGTCCCATTTTAACACATATCTCGAAAACGCCTGTGCGGATCAACACGAATTTTTGCAGGCCGCATAAGATTTCCTCTGTCCTTATGATTTTGTAAACTACAAATGCGCAGATGCTGCTTTTCTCTTCAAGCCGCATAATTTTTTTGATTTTTCTTCGACTAATTATTTCTGTACCCCTGGAAAAAAAAAAAAAAAAAAAAAAAAAGAATATACAGCAGTCGACACACGTGGGAGATGGTTTGGAAACCAGTTCGCATTTGCAGGGATTTGCGATGATTATTTTGATAGCCTATTCTCCAGTCAATGAAAGAATCGTAACTCACATGAGAATTATGCTGGAGATGACCTCGAGTGAAACACCAATGACACGGGCGCAATTTGATGTTTAGATACTTCCTGTTTCTTAGTTTATTTAGGTCACTGCCAGCATGCTAACTGTTTGCTTTAAATTGGTGTCTGTTTTTTTGATATACTGAAAAAAAAAAAAAAAAAAAAAAAAAAAAAAAAAAAAAAAAAAAAAACAAAAAAAAAAAAACAAAGATAAAATTAAGATTAAATTTGTTTGAATTGAAGAGATAAATGTTGCAACGTTTATATGACGGGCGTAAAACAGAGCCAGTCAATTTTAAGCAGCCATGCCTGTTATCAGATTTAAAACCACCGTAATTCCTACACCACCAGTGAAAGAACCAGCGCCAGATCTCATTGTATTTACCAATTTAAATGCCCCTGTAACGTTGTATATGTGATAGAAATTGAACGACGACTGGAGAAACGGGTTACTGAATATATCCAACTATGAGTGGTAAAAGCAATTCAGGACACTAACAACTCAGCAACACCGAAGCAGGTGACTGGTAGAAACACAAATCTATCATCAGCAACTGCGAGCCATATTCTAGATTCCGGACACATTTAAAAAAAAGGAAGACGTATTTTGAATTATTTAGTTCGGCTAACAGCAGATTACTGAGATTTGTGGAAGCATCATTTATCAGCCGGTTTAGTCCAGAATTACGCAAACAAAAGTTCATGACCTTCACCTTGCAGTTATCCGGATGAAATAGACAGTTTTTGAATGAAGTCGATTTTCTGTTTCAGTTCCAAGGATTATTTTATTTGTTTCACTTAAATCAATTATTACTGTAGTATGCACCTGACGAGATACAGCGAAATATGCCAGGCAAAAAATTGTGAAATCAATTGTTTGCCTATTCTTTGTTCAAATTAAATGCTTTTTGCTTAAAAAAAATACTTACAAGGAAATTATTATTGATTTAAACATCTTACAATGAACGGCTACTAAACTGCAGGTTTTTAAATTTCGGCAAGATTTCTGGAACGCAATTAGTTTACCATTTCAATCCGCGTGGGACAGTCAATAAAAGATATCCAAGGACCAATAATTTAACACCAGATAACT